GAAGAAGAAGAAGAAGAAGAAGAAGAAGAAGAAGAAGAAGAAGAAGAGATTGGATTCATACCCCGCCCTTCCCTACCCAAAGGCGTCTCAGAGCGGCTCACAAACTCCTTTCCCTTCCCCTCCCCACAAAAGACACCCTGTGAGGTAGGCGGGGCTGAGAGAGCTCTCTTGAGCAATGTTCCCTCTAGGTTGTTGAGTCTTGTGAGCAAAAATTCTACTTTGTGAGCTACGGGCATTAAAGTTGTGAGCAACCATTTTAGCTACTGTATAAATTAGTTTGCTCTGGAGCCATCATTCCTGAGCTAAGACAGAAATCTGCGAGTTGGAGGCTAAAAAACTGTGAGCTAGCTCACACTAACTCAGCTTAGAGGGCACACTGCTCTTGAGGACTGCTCGTGAGAGAACAGCTCCCAGAGAACTGAGGCTTGTCCAAGGTCACACCAGCAGCTGCATGTGGAGGAGTGGAGAATCAAACGTGGCTCTCCCAGATTAGAATCTGCGCACTTAACCACTACACCAAACTGGCTCTCAGAGCGAGGCCTTTTCTCTTTCCTTCCTTCCGAAACTCCTGGTGCTTCTTTGGGGCCTTCTGCTTTCACTGCTGGGAAGATAATGATGGGAAGCCATTGGGGCGACTTTTTATTGCCCTGGTTAGTGCATTTTCCTGAAGCGCCAGAGATAAAAGTCTGTGGATGAGGTCTGTAAGGAGTCCCCCCCCCCCCCAATAACGGACAGACACGGCAAGCAAAAATTATTCCGATTGTTATGATTGCTAGGTGGATGCAGTGGAAGGGGGGGGGGGGGGGCCCCGAGTCCCCATAGTGGAATGACAGCCCCAGGGTGTAGCAGACGCCTGTATGCATTATATGCTGGGTTATTTTTTGCATCGTTTTCTAATTTTGTAATCCACTTTTTTATTGGACATGATCGAAGAGTTCCCTGCACTGCTTCCCAATCTTGTAACTCCTGCACTATGGTCTGTATCGTAGGGTATTTTTGGTGCGATATTGGTTGTATATCTTAAGCTGATTTTACTGGCTCCCTTTTATTCCTACTCTTTCTTTGTGCATCAGGTCAGGCAGGCTATGAATGAAATAAAAGCAAACAATGATGGAAGTGATCTGAGAGCACCCCGAGTTGCACATTTCCCCTTCCATAGTCCTCCCCCCCCCTGCACTGAGCGTATCCTATCATAGGCATTACCTGAGCACTCAATGAAAGGAAATTGGTAGATCAATGCCTCTATCAGAATAAGCAGGGTGCTTCAGATTTCAGTCTGAAGCCATCCACTCAAGGAAGAAGGCAGGCGCTAGAATGGGCTAGAAGGGCCAATATTCTCGATGCCTCTTGCTTTTAACAAAGGGGGGGGGAGGGTGCAAGACAAAGCTATGGCTGGGAGGAAGAAGCGCTCTGAGCTCTGTCTTGCAGCGGGATCTTCTCTCCTTCTCGAATTTTGTCCCCCTCGCTCTTATACCCCCCCCCAAGGGAGACCCAATCCTCTAGCCATTAGACCCTACTGCCGTAGAGCAGCCAAAGGCAGTTCACCACATCTGGGGAGTGGGGATGTGGGGTAAGGAAGCCCTCCCACAGAAGTCAAGCCTCACTCTAGCTGGCCTCGTAGTCGTGTGGAGTGAAGACGGGCTGTGCCCGGGCGAGGTGCAGAAAGTCCCAAGGCGCCACCCCCACCCCCCTTCTCCCAGCTGCCAGAGAGCACAAGGCCGCCCTTGCCCCACCCACCACACAGGTTCCCCCACCTCTCTGAGCCCCGGGGTGGTGGCCTTCCAGTCGTAGGGGCAAATAACGCCTCTAGCTGTATGAATTGGAACTGGAATTTGGGTGACATTGGTGGTTTAAGTTGCAATGTGAACCTTAAGCAGGGGTCATATCCTGCCGGAGCGCACAGGAGCAGAGCTCCGGCAGGAAAGAGCCCAGGGGGCGGGCACATGCAACAAGCCCCACCCCCTGCTCCCAGCAGCCCTCAGTCAGAGCAAGAAGCAGCCAGGTAAGTTGCAGAGCCCCCTGGTCCAAAACAGTCCAGCGGCACCTTTGAGCCCAAGTTTTATTCAGGTACAAGCTCTCCCTCCTCTGTGAGGACAGATCTGCACGTTCCCCCCCCCCCCCAATAGCTAGCAATCCAAAACAGTCCCGTGGAGCCTGAGCGGTGGGTGTTGCCTTCTGACACACTTCCGGTGACATCAGTGGGTGTGGCATATGTAAATAAGTTATGCTAATGAGTTATGCTAATGAGCTCCTGCACCTCTTTTTCTACGAAATGACCCCTGACCTTAAGGGAGTTATGGGATGGTTGTGAATGGTTGTGTGAGTGTATATGAGTATGGTTGTAGATCACCGAATGATTGCATCTTAATTTCGTTGTACTATGTACAACGACAATAAAGTATAATATTATTATTAGCGTCTGATGGCTGATGCCGAAGGAGTCCCAGAGCGGCTCACAATCTCCTCTCCCTTCCCCTCCCCACCACAGACACCCTGTGAGGCAGGCGGGGCCGAGAGAGCTTTGAGAACCCCCAGAACAGCTCTGACAGAACTTGTGAGTGGCCCAAGGTCACCCAGCAGCTGCAAGCGGAGGAGTCGGACGGGGAATCGCCACTCCAGAGGATGAGTGTCCGCGGACTTCACCAGACACCA